CATGTCCTTCTAACTAACTGTACAACCAACATTGCCTTGTCATGTGCCTTTCATTTTGTTTTTTTGTCAACTTGAGTTGATGGACACTTAGGTGATTTACAGTTCCTAGCTGTTGTGAATAAGGCTGAGATAAATACAGGAATGCAGATGTCTCTCGGGCCGGTGGATTTTATTCCCTTTGCATGTGTGCCTGGTGTGGCGCTCCTGGATCTTATGCTAGCTCTGCCGTTGGTTGTCCCTTGAGTCTGTCCGTTTGCAGCAATAGCAGTGCTCTTGTTCATCGCTGATAGTGCAGCTGGAAGTGCCCAGGGTTCTCTCACCTTCACTTCCCCACCAGCTTCTCTTACCTTCTTCCCTCCCTCCCTCTTTTTCTTTGTTTCCTATAATAGCCCTGAGTGGCACTTTTAAATTTCAAAACGAATTCCATTTCCAAATTTCCTCCTCCTTTTATCTATCTGTTACAGGTGTCATGTGTGCACATATGCATATTACTCGCCTAGGTTATTTAGTGCTCACTGTCATTGTCTGAAGGAGGCTCCTGGTCCCATTGTAGAGAGAAAGCCACCAATACGAGGAGGGTGAGGGAACTTGGGTGACAGAGCGGGACATGTTCCCAGTTCTGAATCTCCTAGAACAACCTGAGCTTGAGGCTGATGGGCTGCCTGGCCTTGCTTCCTGGATTAGGAGCTTTGAGAGCTTCTTCAGCTGGATGAGGAAGGTCACACAGAGGCCATATTTTATGGTAAGCACTATTTATGACCTCTGGAGAGCCCTGGGGAGGATCGACTACTTGATAGTGTGTGTGTATGCCATAATGGACCAAAAATCCATTCTTTGTCTTTTAAAGCAGAGATGTGGCCACTTGCTCATGTCTGTGAATATTGTTCTCAGTGTTCTTGAGCCCTGACATTCTGTCGTTATAAATGACCGTGCCAATGGTGTTTATGTAGTTCACAGAAAATGAATACAATGAATGGGTAACAACTTCCTTTGCACTGAAACAATGTCACCTTTTAAATCTAGTTTTCCACGGACTTCTGACAGTAACCATGTGCCACAGTCCATGCAACAGACAGAATATCAGTTTTGTGATCCTAATGGAACACTATTTTATCACCTATTAGTAGCAATACCAAATACTCTATAAGTGACTGTCAGTGATGAAATTCTTGTTAATGTATTATTGAGGGTTTTTTGAATAATTTACCAGGCCCTTCTGCCTCATAATAGAAGGGCTGGATGGTGCCTGCTTAGCAGAGAAAAGCGTTTCTGTATGTACAGCTGGATTTCTCGTGTGAGAACCCCACCCTGCTACTGCAAGAGAGGAAGGAGAGACAATGAGGGGCGGGGGTGGTGAGGAGCAAGGAACAGAAACCGTGGAAGGAAGGTGCTGCAGGGCCACGCCTCATTAGTGATTGCAAAGCCACGATGCTGGGTTAGAGGTTTGGGAGATGCTGGAGAGCAGATGCAGCTGTGGGCTCTTGGAAATGAACATATTTCTAGGGTGTGCTCATCTCTGGGCACCCAGTGGCCGATGCTGGAGAGAGGCAGCACCCAGCTGCAGGGCCTGGCATCAGGCCTGCTCTGGGAGCAAAAGAAGTCCCTCTGAAGAGGGGCCCTTTGGGGGGAGCTGGTCAGCAGGGTGTGGCAGTTGTCTCGGAATGGACTTGCAATTCTCACGTCTGGCTCTGCTGTGAGTTACAAAGGAACAGTAAGGCTGCTCTTGTCACTGATGCTCCTTTGCCGGAGATTTCAGTTGTGTCTTTCTCTGCCAAGGCCCTGGTGGCATGGCGTCCAGCCCCGTGGCTGGACAGCAGGCTGTGTCTTGCATTAGCCTAGTGGGCTCAGCTGGTCGCCTTCAGCTCTGCTGCAGGGGCAAGCGACCAGGGTCTCCAATGACAGGTTCTCAGTGACACAGTAGGACAGATCACCCGTAGAAGACAAATGCAGGAACACGATGTGACAGATGCTTTTAGACACAAATGGCAGGAAACCCATTCAGTGAAATAAATTACCTGCTGCCAAGGTGATGCCTGGCTGTCCTGTGGAAGAGTCAGCATTTAGAGGAGCAAACATTGTGTTAGAACATCGAGAGGACATGTAATCCTGGATACAATGTGTGTGTTCAGATGGGAAGATGGGCACTTCAAATTGCACTCAATAACTGGCATTTTAAAAAATGTATGTTTATTTTTATTGGAAAGACAGATTTACAGAGAGAGAAGAGACAAAAATCTTTTGTCTGTTTTACTCCGCAAGTGGCCACAAGGGCTAAATATGGGCTTATCTGAAACCAGGAGCCAGGAGCTTCCTCTGTGTCTTGCACTTGGGTGCAGGGTCCAAAGATCCTGGGTCATCTCCCACTGTGAAATTTCCCAAGCCACAAGCAGAATGGAAAGTGAAACAGCCAGAACTTGAATCGGCACCCACATGGAATCTCAGGGCTCGAAGGGAGAGGATTAGCCAACTGAGCCATTGTGTCAGGCCCCCAATAACTGACATTTTTCAACATGCTTTAAAATGTTGATATGCAGAACATGTTCTTCAAGCATACGTTTGTGATTATAAACCACAGTGATCCCTAAAGTGACAGATGCCCCGGTAAGAGGCATCTCTTACGGAAGACAGATTTGTAGAGAGAAGAGACAGAAAGATCTTTTGACTGTGGGTTCGCTCCCCAAGTGGCCTTCGGAGGAGTGTCACCTGTGATCCTCGCTGTAGGAAACCACATTTTACTTCGTGGTAGTCCCTTGGATTCAGTGATGGACATGTGTTTACTCGTGCATTTATCCACATGGAAAGACATGTATGTAGCAGGAATTAGCACTGCGGGAGTGGTAACGGACTTGGTCCTTTCTCCGTTGGCCCTTAGGCCTTGTGGGAAAATACATTATTGTTCATCAAATACTTTCAAATAAGTGTTTTACACAACTTGTCTCTCATAGTTCTAGAAACAAGCTTTTGTTTTTATATATGACAAGTGAGACAAAGTAGAGCCAGGTTGAGTAATATGCTGAAAGTTGAGTGAGGTGGAGCCAGCTATGTTGCACAGCAGGCTGCTAGCCCCTGTGACACCAGCAACTGGCATAAACACCAGTTCTAATCCTGGCCATGCCACTTCTAATCCAGCTGCCTGCTCATGTGCATGAGAAATCAGCAGATTCTGGTCCAGGCACTTGGACTTTTGCCACCCATTTGGGAGACCTAGATGGAGTTCCAGGTTCCTGGCATCAGACTGACCCAGGCTTTTGGGTAGCATACTACTGGATGGAAAAGTTTTATTCTCTCTCTTTGTCTCCCTACTTACACCCCTCTATAGTTCTGCCTACCTTTAGATAAGTAAATAAATATTTTTTTAAGAAGCATGAATGAGACCAAATTCAGATACGTGCTTTCTGGTTTCCCTTGATATGTTTTGACTATGATTGGCAGATCAAAGGTACCTACAGAAAGTTCCAGAAAATAAAATTAAAAGATAAGCTTATTTTGGGGGGAATGCAATTTTGAATTGCACTTTTTTTTTCAAAAAGGTGCAGTGAATTTTTTGATGACTCCTTTATGATTATCTAAGAAGATGCTAAAGAACATTCTAGACCTAAAGAATTTTTCAGTATTTTACTTTAAGTTTCCTAAATCAACTTGCTTTGTGTAGGCACAAGCTACCCTACCTTTTGCCTATAAAGCTGATGGTCAGTAGACCAAACGTCCCTTGAAACGTTCCATCAGGGAGCGGCATAATGGCAATGAAAAACAGCCGGTACTTGTTCAGGAACCGTGTCATCTCACTGACCAGGCAGCATGGGTTTGTTCCCATTGCGTCTGATAAGTGAGCTTTCTTACTTCTTTTTCCTCTTTTCTTTACGCTGATTTCCACATGTGGATTTACCATCAAGAATGAGGCTGAAATCGCTGGGCCCGGCCTGTCCTCTAAGCTCTGTGTGAAACCTCAGAAAGCAATTAGGTGGCCATTCTCTCATGCAGTTTGAAAAAGCTAGAATTAGACCGCAGCATGCTTTTGTGGCTCAGTTTATAGTAACAGTTTAGCTTTGTCTTTCAAGAATGAAGATTTTGTCCCTTAAAACATGAGTTGTCTTCTAATGAGATACAAGGAATGATTGATTCCTTAGCTTGTGTTGAATGAGTAAATGTGAGATGTGATGCTGATGAGAAAGAATATACATCATTAGATATTATTAATCAAACTGCTTTTTAACATTAAAGTTAGCATTTCTGGTGTAATTTCTTCATACTGTCATTATGTGATGTCTGGAATATCTTTGAGTCCTTCTAGCAATCCCTACATTGACGTTAGTTAAATTTTCTGGTATTAACATGCTTACAGGCATGCTATTTGTATCTTGTTAAAGCAGAATAGACACCTGGACATGGCATGACTCAGGGATTGGCCATGGTCAAGTGGAGCAGCCTTGGGGTGCCAGCCAACCCTCTAGTACTGTACCAACTCTTTTTTTTTTTTTTTTAAAGATTTATTTTTATTATTTTTTCATTGGAAAGGCAGATATACAGAGAGGAGAGACAGAGAGGAAGATCTTCCGTCCGATGATTCACTCCCCAAGTGAGCGCAACGGGCCGATACTATGCCGATCCGAAGCCAGGAGCCTCTTCCGGGTCTCCCACGCGGGTGCAGGTTCCCAAAGCTTTGGGCCGTCCTCTGCTGCTTTCCCAGGCCACAGGCAGGGAGCTGGAAGGGAAGCGGGGCTGCCGGGATTAGAACCGGCGCCCATATGGGATCCCGGGCGGCAAGGTGAGGACCTTTAACCACTTGCGCCACCGCGCCGGGCCCTGTACCAACTCTTTACAATGAGTTAAACTGCAGCTTACTCTGCCTACAAGGACTGGACAATAGAATAGATGGTCAGGTGTCCACCCTCAATGATGACTGTTCTTCCTTTTCTCCTTCCCCCTCTTTTTTTCTTGATGCAGGTGTTTAATCCAACTGCTTTTGGGGATAATTGAATCAAACTTCTACTATATACAAGATGAAAATGTGGTTGCTGGTTAGTCCTCTTGTGGTAGTATCTTTTACAACCTGCATGGCAGGTAAGAAATACCCTTTGCATCTTTTCCATAAACTATGTTAATGTAATTGATATGTGTTTTCATTTCATTAAAGTTTCTGTTTGAAGTCAGAATTAATTTTTGCTTTTGACATCTGAGACTATATATACACCTGCATGCATAAGCATATATGTTAAAATAGTACCTATATTTTATTTTATTTTTTTACTTTTAGTTTTCACAAGATTTAGTCTTGCCTAGTAACAAGTGGGTAAAAGTTTTTGTGACAGTGGCATATTTATTTGGATGGCAAAGTGATGGAGAGAGGGAGAGAGATGTTGCAAGTGTGAGAGCGAGAGCTCTATCTTGAGCCTACTGATTCATAGCTAGAGGGCTGCAGGCATCAGTCTGGGTAAGGTCAGAGTCTCCATCCCAGGTTCCTTGGGGGTGGCAGGTGCCGTTTTCCACTGCTTCGCCAAAAGCCTAGGTAGGAAAGGAGAGAGATCGGGACTAGAGCAGCCAGGGCTTGAACCAGCACTTTGGTAAGGTCATTACATTCCAAGTCATAACTCATCAGCATTTAGTATCTGCTCTCTGAGGGCAAGGGCGGTGTTTGTTCATTCTTGCCAAGTCAGTGTGCCCGTCATCGCCAGTCCCAAGCTGACACTCATTAGCATGGAGCTGGGAGGTTGCATAGACAGCTCACCATTATAAGACACTTCTCCCATCCAGATTCAAGGCTGTGAATCCTGGACTCAGTCAATATTGAAGTGTGTAAGAACAAGGCTACAGAATGATGAGTTTCAGCCCTTTTCCCCTTGTTCATAGTATTGCTTACCTATTTTCATTTTTTAAATGTATTCATGTGAGAGTCAGGTACACACCCACACACACTAAGAAAGAAGAATTTGCTCTCTCTTGCTCCGCACGGCTGCGTTGGGTCAAAGCTAGGAGCTGGGACTCTGTCCAGGTCCACTGTTTGACTGACAGGGGCATGCTGCATGAGTCATTATTGCTACCCCCCACCAGCGTCGGAAGTGGCCCTGGGACCCCTACCCAGGAACTAACTACTAATTAACTGCCTAACTGCTAGACTGGGTGCCTGCCCAAACAGACTTTTAAGTTAACACAGTTGCATTTCTAATGTTAACTAGGATTCACAATGGGCATTAATAAAGGCTCCTCAAGAAGGGATCCAAGGAAGTCCAGCACACAGTAAGCTTAGGTCTCCAGTTTAGTCATTGTGATGACGAACAGTATGTAGTCACCTGCAACATGCAAGACAGTGTTAATACCAGCACAGCTTACCGACAGATGTAACATATCTCTTTCAAAGACAAGTCTGAAGCTGTAGGGAGTTCCCGTGAGAGGTGCATCGTAGTTTTGTCTCATATTTCTTTAGCAGTCAGTTTTTCTCACACTGTCGTCATCACGACCTTGACTGGGGAGGTGCTTGTTGGGCTGCACTGCTCCGGGGGTCACTGCACCTGTCTCACCTTACCATCCCTGGTGCTGGCTGTGAGGAGCGAATTGAAAGGCGTCCTTGTGCATTTGTTGAGACGTAGAAATACTGGTTACTTTGGGAGGAATAGCCCTCATTTGTGCTGACTCCTCTTTCTGAAAAAGATCATTTCATCAGTACTTAATCATTTTAACATCATTAATAAAAATGTGTTTTATAATCACGATCATTATATACGTACATATATTTGCCATGTATTTATCCATGTAGTTGTCATGCAAGTGAAATGCAAAAGCTATTGTAGTGAAGTCTCATTTGTATGAACAAAACAGAATTAATATTGTTAATGGAAATTTGCATGGATGCTGTTGAGCACTGCCTTAGTGCTTAACAGCTGTAGAGTGCAAAGTTAACAAATACACATCTGTACTGTTGTGAAGACATTTCAGCCTTAGAAATGAAGAGCGAACCCCTCATACCATGAGCTGGCATCTTTTGTTTTAATTGTATAAGTTTTATTTTGGGTAATTCTTACATATTTGATTGGGATGTGAAGGGTCAAGGGCTAGAGGAAATTGAGTAAGACCATTGTTTTCATATTGTCTTTTTTCCTTCCTATATCTGGGGGATGGGGGAGGGTTTAGATAAGAGGAGAAGCCAGACCCAGCCTCACAACCATTCCAGGGTCCCCAGTGTGGGGCACACTCTGAGGGCGCTACTCAAGTGGCTTTGTTAGTTCAGCAGTTCTGTATTGCCACTGATCTTGCCACTCAAATCATGGTGAAATCTCTCCAGACTCCACTGGCTGACAGCAATTCCATACCCGCAAAACCCCAGAGCTTGCTGCCCACACGCCCAGGACCTCCTCCCTGCTCAGCAGCAGTGGATGGGGAGTTATGATCCCCAACAGAAACCCTGGCCGGGCAAGCCACAACCAAGTGACTGGGAGATCCAGACACCGGCGCTGCTGCTCAGACTTACCTGGACTGCACCCACCAACATGGCAGTGGTGGGCAGAGCCGTGGTCCTGAGCATGCCCAGAGCTGTCCGAGATCCATCCCCAGCATGGTCGCTGTGGATGGAGGAAATTCTCCGACCTCAGACTTGGACAAGCCCAGGACCAACCCCTACTCTGCCCAGCAGCCGTGGATGCGGATCCCTAGCAGGAAGCCTGGCCTGGCACAGGTTCCCCCAGCCACAGCCACGTGGCTGAGGGATTCAGACACCCACCCACTGCTCAGACTTACCTTGGCATCTTAGTTTTTTGCCTAGATATGTTTGCATCAGAACTTGAAGAATCACTTAAACATCAACCTTGTTTATTCTTTTGTTTCAGAGTTTACCTGGCACAGAAGGTATGGTCATGGAGGTAAGTTGGCAAAAGGGAAAACCTTCTCTAGGTTGGATAATATTTCCTTTCTGCCCTCAGGACGCCAAGAGAAATGGTTTATATTAGATCTCTTAAAAATGCTGAAAGCTTATTTTTCTAGTCTCATAAGGCAACTTGCTTGAATGTCGAAGTGAATGGATGGATTATCACGAGCAAATATCTAACTGGAGGATGTTAAGCAGGTTTGAAATAGTCAGTGTGGCCTTCAGCATTGTGGCAATGCCATGGTACTAAACTTGAAATGAGATTATGAGTATTGCAAATGTCTAAATTGTGCTTGAAAGTTTCTTGCTTTGCTGCAAGAGAGAATCTGAACTTGGAACTTTAAGATTCAGTTCCATTAGAAGTATACAAATGTTCTAAAATTTGTTATTTAAGATGGATTGAATGTATTTAACAGTCCTGTGAGTGGACATTCTACCTAATGACTCCTGAGCAAATCTCGTAGAAGGAGGAGCAGCTTGGTGAGGCGTACATGGTAGCCTGGAGAAATCAGCCCAGGCTGGGTGTGTGACGTCAGCTGTGTCTTTGGAATCTCATGTTAACTCCTCCACTTCCCTGAACATTGACCTTCCAATATGTCAAAGTGAGGAATACAGAAGCAACGCAGAGACACCTTCCAGCACAGTGGCTGATCCCATGGGTTCTCAGCGAATGTAGAAAACCTGGTAACTCAGAGAAATCAGTGCATAATAGTGGGAGGATAAAAATCAACAGTATGACTAAGCAGTGCTGCAAGCTGCATGCCCAGTTGCAGCTATGTATGGTAAATGAGTGAAAAGAACTCTGAGTTACAGGAAAAGGGATGAAAAATTCCCAGCTCAAATTCCACTGAAGCCATTCTATCTTCCACCTGGGAAACGGGGAACCACTGCATTACATCTTAGGGTGTATTCTCTGATTTCACAAACCTGTTCACAAAGCGTGGGAAATTGTTAAAGCAACATTATGATGATGCTTTTTAAAAAGGATGTGCCGAGTGAAGGCATATGTGATGATGGAGGTAGCGGGCAGAGAACCATGAAGGATTTTAAATGTTAAAATGGAGCTAATTCTAAACAGAGGAAGTGACTCGAATAAAACCCGGTGGAGGAATATGGGCTGCAGTGGGAATTTTCTCAAGAATTCCAAATGTGCTCTGCAGCATGTTAATAGGAACTGCCCGGAGTGAAGACTTGTCGGATATACTTGGGAGACAATGGGCCATGAAAGTTCGATAACTTAATGTTGGCTTTCAGTAATTAGCATCTGTCAGACTTGCCTAAGAGGTATAAGGCATGTGTTAAATCCCCAAGACTGCCCTGCTGAAGCCCACAATGTTAGTTATATGGAGTTAGGACCCACCCGATGACCTCATTTAAACTTCGTTTCTTTATAAAGACCCAGTTTTCAAAGATCACAGTCTGCTGAACTGGGAGTTAGGACATCATCATGTCTAATACGCCATGTTTTAACGTTTGATGCTACAGAAAGAGAGATCTTGCACTCAATGCTCCACTCCCCAAGTGACCACAACGAGCAGGGTGAGGTCAGCTGAATCTGGTGCCTCTTGCATGTCTCCCCTGTGGGTGCAAGGGCCTAAGCACCTGGGCCGTTTGCTTTTGCTTTCCTACGTCCATTCATAGGGACCTTCATTGCAAGTGGAGTAGGTTGGACTCAAACCGGTGCCCATATGGAATACCAGGACTGCAAGCGGTGAATTAACGGGCAATGCCACAGTGCTTGCCCTGAACACTTTAAATGATTATTTTATAGCAATCTTAATAGTCTGACTATTCTTTAAGTAAAATGCATGTATTAAATGCTTAGAGTGAAATCATCTGTAATTTATAGTTTTTATACTTACAGTTATGGTATAACTTTATTGTATCCAAAGCTAATATTGAAAATGTAATTCTCTCATCTCTGGACTGTAAGGAGGGCAGATGGCAATACCTCATATCTTTGCAGTACTGGCTTCAACTTTCCTGAAATTTTTTTTTCAGTTAGACTGACATCAATTACTTAGCATACTTTTCAGTGTGTTTTTTAAATCTCAACGTGGGACTGACATAGCATAGCAGTAACTTATCACTGCTTGGTGATATGGTCATGTGTGGCTCCATTAATTAAGTTGACAGGAGGCAAACTAAGACAGGCAGAGTCCTGCCCGGGGGGCACAGCGGTGACACAGGAAGGATGTTGTTAGCCGTGGGGTCTGTGTGGGGAGGTGCTCCACTCACCAGGTGCACAGCTCAGGTGCACAGGGTAGGTGATGCTGACAAACACCGAAGGCTGTCCTTAGACAGGCAAAGCCGAGGAGAGCATCAGCCCATCTAACGTTTCTCCTAACTTGACCCCAGTGTTCATTCTCATGCTGGATTTCTGCACCAGCGACACCAGAGGCTTGCTTTGTGGTTTTAGCTATGATCTCTTACTGCGATAAAACTCTGGCCCTCTGAAGCCCTGCACATTAGAATATTCATATTCCATCCATGGGGAAAGATTAGCAATGAAGGTTAAGAAGCTGAATGGAACATGCATTGAGACAATTTAAATCTAGCCTCTTTTAAAGAGTTTGTTGTCTTTTGAGAGAATTCACCCTATTTCCTTTCCTGTAGCCATTGTGTATGGTAAATGTTGAAAAAATTCCATGTTGGACTCTTTTCAAACTTTGTCCTTGCATGTAACAAGTCGATTTGTTTTCTGAGGCTCTTCTTGCAATATACTTATGCTAAATCATTTAATAACTTACAGACTGACATGACAGAGGGAAACATGGGTTTGGTTTTCAAGTGGATACAGAGTGAACTAAAAATAATGCTGAAACACAGATTGTAATTTTGCTTTGAATTTTTAGAAATAGGAAAGTGAGACTACCGTGGGCTGTCTGCATGTAGTGCGAAGGGTGAAGTCATCCTGTCCCCGACCACACAGCTGCTGATTGCATTAGTTCTGCACCTGAGTGTGGTGCTGAAAAAATACGGTGTGATTGCAAAGACCAAATGTGAAAATACACTTCTCTAAATCTTCGGTTCAGTTCATGATGAGGCTGCATCTTCTGGGATACAGAGTGGGCTGTGTGGGGGTCATGGTTATGGGGTCAGAGAGGATCAGAGGTCAGACGAGTGTGAATATTTATGGCCAAACTGGCCGGTAGAAGACTAGATCTAAAGAAGTCTAAACTAGATCTCGACTAGTTCAAAAGAAATCTTTTATTAAGAACTCATCTGTAGATTTCCAAGTGAACAAAAGGATGTGTTTTTAAAAATGATCATGGCTTTTAAAAATAATCATTCTTTGTTTTTATCTTTTGTCTTTGTTTTTCTTTAAAACATTGGCAGGGAGCTGGGTTGGAAGTGGAGCAGCCAGGTCTTGAACCAGGGCTCCAGTGAGGGATGCTGGCATTACAGGCAGCAGTGTAAACCCCTGCACTGCGTCACCAGCTCCTCTTCGGCCTCAGTACTTCCAGGTCATCACCTGAGGTCACTGAAGTCTTCCCATGCTGCGGAAGGAAGTCTGAGTGACTTCTGTAGACTGACAGTACAGCACGTGCATTCTGTGTTCTCTTGCAAGGCCAGTACTGAGTTATCCCTGACAGTACTCCTGGGACAGAGTTCAGAGCTTCAAGGTTGACAGAGAAGAGGAAATGAATATCAACTCCGCTCTTAAAATAAACTGGGGGCTTGAAGCCCAGCTTTGACCCAGCGGAGTGTCCCAGTAGCTCCGTGTCAGCAGGCTCATCCCTTGCAACTCTTCAGGCCATTGTTAATTCACCTGGCACATGTGGCGTTGAGCTGTGCCCTGAGATGCTGTCACAGTGCGACACGTCGATGCTGCCCTCCTCACCCACATGGGAGGCATCACTCTTGCAGAGAGGGCAGACCGTCAGGAGGATGCTGTTTCCACAGGGGCAGGCGGGGCAGGAGTTAGACAAGTTGGTCACATCTATACCGGGTCCTCAGGTGGTAATTTGTCCTCAACGTGGCTGGGGGCCAGTGCAGAAAACATATTTAGGAAAAGTAAAAATGAATCTAGAATGGAGACAAATTTCTCAAGCACATCTCAAAAAATATTTGTTTAATCATTCTCTTATTTTAAAAAAACATGATTGTGTTCCAGACAGTTTGATAGGAGAGTGGTGCGCAGAGATTAAAGACACAGCCCCTCCCGTGTCCACACATCCATAAGACAGAAAGTTAGCCCAAACCCAGGCAGGTGTGTGAGGTGCCATAACCTGTGCAAGGAGCTGTGGAGACAGGAAAGGGAGCCGCTGAAGCCTGCTGGGGTGAAAGGGGGTCCTGGGGGGATCGAAATGGGTGATGCGGCTACAGGAAACACCGGGTTTCTATGGGAGGAAACCCTGCTGCCAGTGCTAGGAAGAGGGTGAGGATGGGCACAGGCTAGGGCGTGAAGACGTGACCTGGTTGGGAAGTCGCTGTAGCTTAGCCTAACCCAGCAGGGTGCTTGTGGGGCAGTGGTGCCAGAAGGACAGAAGAGTTATGGGCAAAGGACCTGGAAATTCCCCACCAGGGTTATGGATGCAAGTCTGTGTTCAGTTGAAAATGGAGGTTCTGGTTCCCGGTTTCTTCACTAATTTTTTTCAGCATATAGAAAATTCCTTTGACTTGTAAAATGCCATGATATAAAATTACACTCTTGTCCTTGCAGTTTCTGAGGAAGACAAAGGATTTGGACCGATTTTTGAAGAGCAGCCGATCAATACTATTTATCCAGAGGAGTCGCTGGAAGGGAAAGTGTCTCTGAACTGCCGGGCGCGCGCCAGCCCCTTCCCTGTGTACAAGTAAGTGCCCCTGGCCCTCTGGGGGAGGGTCGGTCTGGGGGGGGAGGGTCGGTCCTAGGATTCCAAGCCAGGTCTGTGGGGAAATCCAGCTTCTGCAAAGCCCGCGTGTAGGAACAGACACTGGTGCAGAGCTGTTGAAGAATGTTGTCAATAGCACATCCGTAGGCGCTGTTCTTAAATAGATGCAAATAACAAAAATCCTGCACAAATAAGGCTCATAGCGTTCGACATCACCCTGTTAAAATGTGTCTAACGGAGATCCTGCTTTATCCATGCAAAAGGCTGTATGACGATCATGCCTAATTTTTTTTTAAGATTTTTTTCATTGGAAAGTCAGATATTTAGAGAGGCGGAAAGGCAGAGAGGAAGATCTTCCATCCGATGATTCATTCCCCTAGTGACCACAACGGCCAGAGCTAAGGTGATCCGAAGCCAGGAGCCTCTTCTGGGTCTCCCACATGGGTGCAGGGTCCCAAGGCTTTGGGCTGTCCTCGACTGCTTTCCCAGGCCACAAGCAGGGAGCTGGATGGGAAGTAGGGCCACTGGGATTAGAACCAGCTCCCATATAGGATCCCGGCATGTGCAAGGCAAGGACTTCACCTGCTAGGCTACCTTGTCAGGCCCAAATCATGCATAATTTAAAATTCCAGATGTGAGAATAAAACATGTTCCTGTGCATTGGGCTGCACAACTCAGGCCTACAGATGAATGATATTTCTTTATTTCCTATGCTTAACAGGCTTGTAAGGATAATTCTAAAAAAGTGTCATTTTTTGAGTGTTCTCACATCTAGATTCTGGACAACGCAGCAAATTTCTTAAATATCTGTAGCTACTAGCTGATCTATGTAAACTCGCATCCATTCTTCTAGAACTACATATTCATGGTATCAAAATAGGTGCATAAACTGTAGCACAAGGGGCCCAGCTCAGTAGCCTAATGGCTGACGTCCTTGCCTTGCATGGGCCAGGATTCTATATGGGCAACAATAAGGTGTATGTCTTAAAATACTCGCAGACCAAGGGACTTATCCAAGCAGTGTGCAATCAGATAATGTCATGACATCACAGGCAGAATCAGATCCATGGAAATGAATTTCAGGCAGTAAGTGTTTTGAGGCAACACAATGGAGGACAAATTCCTACCAGACAGAGCTGCCAGTGGGTGTACCTTGTCCAGGGCCCAGGGAGGTCTAAGACCTTGGCCCTGCTGGCATGATTCAGGCAGGAGCGGTGGTGCTGTCATCATGGGAGAGGGTGACGAGGCTTCATTTATTGGGTTGGAATTAAGTGTGCCTGAAAAATGTAAAAGTAAGATTGTTCCAGCTTGCTCTTTTTAAGTTCCCTTCTTTGCTAGAGAAATCATGGCGAAAGAGGTCCCCGTAACGTTGACCTCGAAGAAGACACTGTAGACATATGGGGTCACTTTGGCAGTTTTAGCCTACCCAAAGGGCCAGGCGGTGACTGATAGGACAACATGCTACGTGGCTGTCGCAGACTCCTCCTGAGGAGTTGGTAGCTTGAAACAGAATGGTTTTTAAATCATGCAGCTGTTCACCTTAATTGAAGCCTGTTTTCTGCATGCGTAGTTAAATCCCTATTTGTAGCCCACCGTTGTCTGGCAGAGCCTAAGGAATCTGCTTGCTTGAAATCTGTCTCATCCCCATCATCCGGGGATTATGTGGCGGGAGCCCTCTTTACTGCAAGTAATGGCAGCAGGAGAAAAGTCTGAAGAGGCCCAAAATGACCATCAACACCCCCCGGGCCCAGGCAGGTCTCATGGATATTTTTGCAGCTTGAACTGGGAGGACTAACCAGGTGCAACCAATTTCAAGTTGTGTGGTTGTCCTCTAGTGGTCAAAATATGCTCTTTGTTTGGCGTATCCGTGATTTCAGTATTCTGTGGTAAACTCACTTTGCTGTAAAGGATCAGATACTGAAATTTTGTATTTGCTTCTGATGGAGTAATGATTTAATGCTGTATGTAACATACCTGCTTTTGATGATTATTATAAATGCTTAGATGGTTACTCATCATTGCCATGCGTATCTGCCAGGTGACCAATTTCTGTAGCCAAACTCAATTTAAAAAATTAGACATTTGAAACACTTCTTTTAAAGAGGGGGAAATATGTCACACACTTGACTATTTCTCTTTCTGTACCTGATTTAAAGGGTCAGTCATTGTCCCAGTCTCAGAATTATCGGGCATAAAGAAACGCACGCCGAGTTCTGGATGTCGGCGCTGGACTTTGTACAGAGCTGGTCCCAGATTACGTGGAAGGCTGTGAGCTGGCAGTTCCCAGGCCTCCTGAGCTTCGTTTGACATTTGCGTCTCTTTCCCCCAGGTGGAGGATGAATAATGGCGACGTAGATCTGACGAGTGACCGCTACAGCATGGTAGGGGGAAACCTGGTCATCAACAACCCTGACAAGCAGAAGGATGCCGGCGTTTACTACTGCTTGGCGTCCAACAACTATGGCATGGTCAGGAGCACCGAGGCCACCCTGAGCTTTGGCTGTAAGTGACTGCAGAGGAGACATGGGAGGAAGTGGTTGTTGCCTGAATGTCAGTGATGGGTGGGTAACCTGTGTTAATCTGTGGCGCTGAGCGGGTAAGGATCGACTCTTGGCATTCCCTCCCTCTACATTTCTTCTGTGAACTTCTTCCAGTGAAAGTAAGTACTCCTGCCTCACCATCCTGACAAAGGCCCCGGCACCTAAAACGTGGGGTGAGAGAAGAGATTCATTCCCTCCCCTCAGGCAGGCGACATGCACATGGGTGTGAAAGTGTTCAACGAAGATGCAGGACCAAGTAGTTATCAGTGAGTCATCAGAGTGCAGCAAGATGAGAAGCGAAGAAGAGAGGGAACAGAGAGGAAGCCAGTGTGGATGAGTCTTCTGAGATGAGTGAACCTTGACTTTATAGTCAAGAAAAGTTTCGAGAGAGCAAACCATCCTGAGTGGGCGGGGCTAGCAATTACCAAAGTCCCTGAAATACTGAAGCGTCACATCGTACAATAAGACATTGGTCTGAGTCAGAAACCTTGCTTTATTTTATTGCTACATCATGTGAGAGTCTTAATGGAAACACTGAGTCCTACATTCTCAAGGGGGCATTGCCACCCACCGGGATGGTTAAAAATTGGTGAAAACTTCCTGGCAGGTGCAGCATAGTGATGGTGGACTTCCCATAGTTCAGCCCTACTGACCAAAATTCAGTTGTTAGTGTTTATCTTTTCTTCATCAACAAAATTTGAAAGGTAGAAGGAACAGAGACAGAAAGGATGGTATTTTATGTGCTGCTTCATTCCCCAAATGACCTTAAGAGCCAGGGCTTAGCCAGGCCAAAGCCAGGAAGCGGGAATAAATCCGAGTCTCCCACTTGGGTGGGCAGGACCCAAGGCTCGAGTCCTCACCTGCCCCTCCCAGGGTCCAGAGGAGCCGGAAGCTGGAGCTGGCTACTGAACCCACACTTGTCAGTGTGCGATACGGACACCCCAGCAGCATCTTAACTGTGCCAAACACCGATTCTTAAAGGAAGAAGCTAAAGCTTATCTTTATTCATTGAGTTGTTTTAAATTTAAGTGAAAGGGACATGGATTGGAGAGTGACCTGTGAAAAGGGGACCATTAGGATGCAGGTTCCACTGACAGACCAGACACTGAGGAGTGTAAACTGGGATTTGATCAGAGGTAAGGAAAGGAGGAGAGGAACTAAATAAATGAGTCAGTGGAACCAATGAGACCAATGAAGGATAGAACAATAGAATACCAGGAATCCAGAAAAGTCTGAGTTCCAAAATGCCCAGAGAAGAGTGAAAAGAATCGGAGCTGAGGCAAACCCAGTGTTTGAGAAGAAGCAGGGTCTGGCACAATAGCGCGGTGGCTGAATTCATCACCTTGCAAGTGCTGGGATCCCGTTATAGTTCCAGTTTGTGTCCTAGCTGCTTCACTTCCCATCCAGCTCCCTATTTATGGTCTGGGAAGCAATAAAGGATGGCCCAGGTGCTTGGGACCCTGCACCCACGTGGGAGACCCAGAGGAAACTCATAGCTTCAGATCAATTCAGCTCTGGCCATTGCAAACCAGCAATGCAAGGTTATTCTCTGTCTCTCCTTCTCTAATCCTGATCTGACTTTCTAATAAAAAAAATACATTTTTAAAAGAAAAACAAATAGTATGAAAATGAACACATTAAACTAAAGTGGCATGGGGTTGGTCACTTTGCCATCCTCCAGCCTCTGTCCTTTTCTTCCTCCGCAGTCTGTAAGTGGTCCCTTGGGAAGGGACCTATAGTCCAGGCACCCCTCCTCTACTCCTCTCCTCCTTCCTGTCATTGGGAGATGCCTGGGTCTTTCTGAGCCCCTAATCATTGTACATTTCCTGGCTAAGATTGTCTCCAGGCCGGGGACTAAGCCTGCAGGAGACCTGGAACCTTCAGGGGCATCAGGCCACTCTGCTACCTGATCCCAGGTTTCCAGCTCGACAAGAAACCTTTGAGCATGGGTGCAAACTCGTGTGAGCAACAGTGAGTTGACTTTCACAAGCTTAGCCAGACCGACTGAGAGGGCCTATTCGGTGTCTAGTGAGTGGGTTTCTGGAGGGTAAAATCTGACCAAAGGGTGAATATATTTCCATTCTCTTTTGTGATTAGATCTGGATCCTTTCCCGCCTGAGGAACGCCCGGAAGTCCGAGTGAAAGAAGGAAAGGGGATGGTGCTGCTGTGTGACCCTCCGTACCATTTCCCAGGTGAAGGGGTGGGCCGTTCATGTGTCACTCGCACGGCGAGAAGGCCGCAGTGTTAATGACTGGATGGGCCTAGTGGTCATGGCTCATTATTAAGGAACTGGGACTCTGCATCACTTTGAGAGAACTGACATCCTTCACAGAGCATCTAGGAACTTCTCTTGGCTCGTTAGTCACTTGGCCCGAATCCCAGGGCCTCTGCAGATTTCCATTTATAGCTGCTGGGACCGTATCCTCATTAAACTCCCAATTGCACAGGGACAATTACGATAGAAAAATTATGATAGATTCTCCAGGAATTACTTCTTGATATAGAACAGTATCAAGGAATGATGTGTAACTAATCATTTTCTTAATAACAGTGGCAGTGTAAAAGGGTACTCTAAAAGTTTATGGAAAGTGAGAAGACAAATTTACTTTGGTACAAAAAAATTGAAATCCGTGCATGTAAGGAGTCTTCTCAGAGTCCCTGAATATACATATGATGCTAAGCCGTGCGTGACTGCGGGAGGCTTTGCGCCATAGTAAGCTTGTTTTTAATTCCATTTTCCATGGGCTTTTGAAGCTGTGGTCCTGTGAACTGTACCTGAATATTAGAAAGGCTATCCCTCTCTAGGAGCACCAATCTGCAGGAGTCAGCAGCCTCATGAGTGGGATTAAATTCAGTGTCATCCGTTATGAAAGCCAATTCTAAATATAAATTTTCTGTAGTTTGATATAGCAAAAATAAAAGCCATCAGAGAGCCAATTTAAGATGAATGCATCATATGCTGTCACCAGTTTTCACTTGTTTATCAAATGCTCCTTGAAATGACATAAAATTTCCACTTTTTCCAATGAGAAAATGTTTTATTATTCTTGTTATGTCAAAAGCCCAACTTTAAGCATCTCCATAGAGAATAGAATGTAACAGACTACTGTAAGTAATTTTGTAAAGAACACACCACTCTGGTGTTTGTGTGTGGGGTATATGTACACACACAGAGTATATTTCACAGGAAGTTATACATATATGTATTCCACACAGGACCAAACACCTGAAGTGGGAACCGTGTGTGTAATAGTGGTTGCTGATGTAATAAGGGCTGGGAATGGTGATTATTTGATAAATCCAGGAGAATCATTTGAAATTCATAGCACTGAACTGTTTCAGTGAGGGAATAGTTATTTTTTTCCTTTAGAAGCTGGTGAAACTATGGGAGGATTACAAAAAGAAAAACACTTCCTAGGGTTTGGCACAAACAAAGCAGATGCCGAAGATAGCCAGGGCCCCACTTGACCTCATCGGATGCTGGGTGAGTTTTCATCCCTGTCCTTGTGGATGATGCAGCACTTCTCTGAGCACTTGCAGCTAACCAACCAGGCGCTTGTTTGTAACCCAGAAAGGACACCATGGAGCAAAGTAGGAGTAGCTGCCAGCCCCCAGCCAGGCCTGGGCTTTCCCACTTACAAATGGCAATAGCAACCCACACCTGTATTTGTAGCAACAGCCTGTGGCTTCATTACAGTCTGTGCACTTCACTGTAACATTCTGTGTTTATTATCAGTTTGTCCACAAGGGGGCCTTATGAGTAGGCTGAAATGTGTGAGGGGCAAAGACCACAGCAATACAGGGAAGGCACTCAGTTTCTGTTGAGTAAATTGTCTGTGTCGGACACTGAGTTGGTCGAACCAGTTGTCCTGCAGCTCAGCACTTCCGTTCACATCAACATTAATGCACTAACCTCCCCAGGCAGAGTGTCAGCCCACGAGGTGCAGACTTGCCGGTGCCCTTGGCTCCTTTGTTGGAAGGGAGGCAGGAGCCAGGGAAGGGTTGCTAGGATCCTGGTGAGATGGCGTCTAGAATCAGGAAGGTTTTTTTGTCGGCACGGCTCTGATGGCTTCTCACGACGTGTCTTTAGTCATCGCCTGGTACTCAAAGTGCCTTTTTTGGTAAATAAACACCTTTATTTTTCTGATATTTTAAAGTTTTGGGGGTTTATTATTAGAAATCACCGTAAAATATTGATCTCCATTTAGAGAACAGACAAATTATTTCTGAATCAGGAGAGGTCAAAATTTTCTTTAAAACTGATTATAAATGGGACAAGTAGCATGCCAGCTCTTTCTACATATGGTACTTCTTTCTGAACCTAGGATAACATAATTTCAAAAATCTATACAACCTTCTAAAAATTTCTTCCTATCCTATTCCTTCTGGAACCCTAAATTAGCATAAAGCTTACAAAACTAATGTAATAGTTTGCAGGCATGCCTAAACAAGTGCATGATATTAGTAACTCTGGAGACTGAATATGGTAGGGCTTTTCTTCTCTCTTAATTTTTAAATTTATATTAATTTTGTTTGAAAGGCACACACACACATGCACGCAATGTGTCCACTGGCTCGCTCCCCAGATGCCTGCACCAGCCAGGCCTGGGCTGGACTGAGGCCCAGAGCCCGCTCTCCTGCCGGTGTGGCAGGGATCTGACTAACTGGACCACCTCTGCTCTTTCCAAGGATGTGCATAGCAGACGTTCCTTTACAAACACAGAACTGTAACTTGACCTTCACTCTGATATGGGATTTGGACTCTCTAGCCATTGGTGCCAAACCACTGTGCCAAATCCCCACCCCTCTTTCTCTTGCAAACTTTATCTGTGATATCTATTTTTTATTCATTGAACCTATAGATAAAGCTGCCACCTGCCACAGTAGCATCCCATATGGGTCCCAGCTGCTACACTTTAGATCCAGCTCCTTGCTAATGCAACTTGAGGATCAGATCATGGAGGATGGCCCAGTGCTTGGGCCCTGCCACCCACATGGGAGAGCAGGATGAAGTTCCTGGTTCCTTGCTTTGTCTTGGGGAAGCCCTGGCCATTGTAGCCACTGGAGGGGAGAACCAGCAGATGAAAGATATGTCTATCTCTCTGTCCCTACTTCTATCCCTGTAACTCCGACTTTTAAATAAATAAATCACCAAAAAAGAGCAAGGAAAAGTGCATAAGTAATCTGAATGCCTGAGCTCTCCTTCCCAGCCCTGTGCTTTCCACGCCAGGTTCTTGTGCGTGCTCTTTTGCAGCTTTGCCAGTAACCTTGACTTTCGTGAAGCAAAATGATGGCTGCCATGGTTGTTTCATCTGGAAAGGTCTCCGAGTGTGAGGAGATCTTGACTTTTGCGCATTTTTTGCTTCAAATCCTGTGTCCTCTGAATGAAAACCACCCACACTCTTACAGTTTTCACATGGTTAAAGCACCTATGGGGTTGTTTAAGGATCTGAAAGTTCATCTGTACGTTTGTTGAATGACTGCTGGGCCGTTACCTATCAAGAAAGGGAGGAGAGGTGAGAGTAGAGAACTCTGGGAAATAAGGAAGATTAAGGAAAAAACTCACCAAAAACGTAGTGTGTTATGTGAGGGAATTTCCATCATTAAAATTACTGTCATGTAATTCATTTCCTAAAATTGAAGAAAATCAGTGACCTGCTGTGCCCAGTTCCAATGGTTTTTACCTTGTGTGACCACAACAGGTTATATTAAACCTAATTTTTTACTCAAACACAGATTTAAATAGGCATGTACAACAAGGAAGGAGAGAGAGCTGCAGTATGGAAAGTCGTCTGCAGTTTATTTTTAAAGCTCAACAGGGCAGATCCGTCGTGCACTACGTAAGAGACCTGGGCTCAGAGTTTCAGTCCTACCTCATGCTTCCACATGCCTGTTGGATCTCTGGGCTCTCCCCTAGCTCAGCAATGAAATGAAAATAAGAATACGAATAGCCCAGAAAGTAATAGAGAGATAAATACATGTAATTTCTTGGTACCGTGCTTAGATAATTCACGTGAAATATGAGAGCAGTTAGGAAATTTGTACTGTTTGCTTTGGCTTTCCTCCGACCATTGCTGCATCATAACCTCTCTAGATTAAGTGATAGTTTGGTGCAAGAAAGCAAAAATATTTGTTTTTTATACTTATTAAGCGACATTTTCTCGTAGATGATCTTAGCTACCGCTGGCTTCTAAACGAATTTCCTGTATTTATCACAATGGATAAGCGAAGGTTTGTGTCCCAGACCAATGGGAATCTCTACATCGCCAACGTTGAGCCTTCCGACAAGGGCAATTACTCCTGTTTTGTGTCCAGTCCTTCCATTACCAAGAGTGTGTTCAGCAAATTCATCCCCCTCATCCCCACGCCTGAACGTAAGTAGTGAATCTGTTGCACTCCTGTTTTTTCAAGGTTGTCTTTCCACCGTGTGTGTAGGGTGGCGGTGGTGAGAAGCCAGATGTGGCAGGGGGACCAAGCAGTAGTGGAGACATGACTTCACACAGAACCCGTGTGAAGGGGGCTGGAGCTTGCTCCTAGACTTCCTTGGATTGAGAAAAGTCAGCTCATGAAACTGCCCAGAACAGTCAGATTCTGTTTGTTGCCTCTGGGTTAAGATGTGCACATGGGCAGAATCACCAGGTCAGTGTGCCAGCCTATAACATTGCCGGGATCCTCCCCAGCGTCTCCCAGAAGGAGAACCGAACCTGGGCACTGGCGACTATGCGTTCTTCCTGTCTCATTGCAAAGCAACACCCCTGCTCCTGCAGGGCTCCCTTCTCGCACTGCTTTTGCCTGCTCCCACCATCAGTCAGGACTCACCCCTTTGCCGTTCCCGCTGCTCTGCTGGTCATCAGAATTCCTTCCGCTTTGTTGTCATTGCATAGCCTTCTGTGCTCGCCCCGCAGTCGAGTGATCACGTCCTTCTGTTAAATCCAGAGGACACTTCGCAGACCTTCTCGTCCACCCCGATACTCTTCCCTGCATCCTCAAGTTGCAGCCCTTTCTTACTGTCTTTGAATTCTGTGTCCTCTTGGGTCTCCAAAAGGTGCCGTTATGTTCTATCTTTAGCAGGGTGTCCTCACCTCCTTACACACTTTGATCAGTCACTTCAAATTCAGGCCTCCACATTGTCTTCCTCTTAGAGCTCAGTCCTGCTTGTGCCAGACATGTCCCACAAAGGGCGCCCAAGGACGTTGAGCTCCGAGGGCTCCACACTCACCCGTCTGCTGCTCTGCTGGTGAATTCAGCACCTTCCTCAGTATCATGTTAAATCTCCTGGCGCTAGGCGCGGTTTGCAGCTGTCCATCCCAGCCCAAGAAGGCTAGACCCAGCAGATCTCTCTTAGTGTGGATATACGTGGGAAGTTTCCATGAAAGCCTGGAACCCAAGATGCTGCTCAGCGGGCCTCAAGTGTGTCCCCAGTGTCTACAAGTCCAAGAAGTGATCAGGGGTTTCCAGTGCGTTGAGCCTTCCTTGGGACACACGCTATAGAAACGCTGATCCAAGGGGCAGGCCCGTGACCCGGCTCTACAATGGGAACTGCATCCGTCCTTTCTCTTCTCACTGTGGTGCTCCGCATGTTGGGACTCACCTGTTTGCCCGTGTTCATGAAACACAGGAACCCTTTACGTCGGTAGTTTTCTGTATTTTTCCTTTCTGAGCTCCGCCCCCCCCCCCTTTAAATCTGCCAACAAAATCTAAGTCAACAAAAGGCAAAATCCAGAAGGTTTCTTTTTACCAAATTTTCTCTGGTAACCCCCCATGGATGGATGTGATCTCAGGATCTTTAATACTGTGTTTTCACGTCTGTAAGGTAGTGTTCCAGGCTCACCTTCACGTTGGTGTACTTGACTTCGCTTTCACATTCCTATTTCCTCACCTTGTGCTGGTTCTGTTCAGGTTCTGTCTGATTTCTGTGGCCCCCAGTCAGCCTTCCAGACTATTCTTTGGGGCCTGTTGACCAGGTCATGTATCTGTTTGTCTCTTTAGTCTCTTATAGTTTAAATACACACTCATGCTGTGCCTTTCCCCCACAATGGACAGAATAATGCTTCTTTCAAAACCAGTGTGATAAGGAAGAGAATCCCGGGGTGGACATTGCTAGGCCGAGCGTTGTCTGTGCCTGCTCTTGTTTCTCCCTGCTCTTGGCTCCCTCTGCCTCCATCGCTGTGGACACAGCTGCTCCCTGTTCTCCCTCCTTTCTGGATGCTTCTTCCTTTCCGTGCCCTTCTCTTTTTCTCCCTTTTGTTGCTTCCTTTCTTCTTTCATGTCACACCGCCCTGCACCCACTGTAGTGTTTGACACACATGTGATGCTCCATGATGGCTTTTTGAACTCTTAACTGTTTAGTTCGTGCCAGCAGGAGCCAGCAGGAGCCAGCAGGAGCCAGCAGGAGCCAGCACGCTTGCCAGTGTTGGTGGAGTTAATGCTCCTTGCATTGGGAGTGTAAGCCAGGGATTCTGTACACACTGCCGTGAACATGCCTGCACAAAGGAGAGGCTTCCCTGTTGAAGTGGTTCTCATCCCATGAAAATCACTGTCTTTACAGAAACGCCATTGAGCTGTGTAACTAAAAGATATTTGTGCTTTTTTTTTTTAAACCTTAGGAACGACAAAGCCATATCCTGCTGACATCGTAGTTCAGTTTAAGGACGTATATGCACTGATGGGCCAAAATGTGACTTTAGAGTGTTTTGCACTTGGAAAGTAAGTGTGCTTAGACTTTTTATTAGCACAAAGGAGTACAATAACAGCTAAGGAAGTAAACACTGTAACTATTGTGGGCCTTTAGCTCCTCTATCTTCTGTTTAAAGTCCTGTTCCTGATATCCGGTGGCGGAAGGTTCTGGAACCAATGCCAAGCACAGCTGAGATCAGCACCTCTGGTGCTGTCCTCAAGATCATCAACATCCAGCTGGAGGACGAAGGGCTGTACGAATGCGAGGCTGAGAACATCAAGGGGAAGGACAAACACCAGGCCAAGGTCTATGTCCAAGGTAAGGGTGCTGTCCTAGCGTCCCAGAACGCTCAGCATCCCATGTAGAAGCGACGCAGATCTTGAAAAACTACTGTCTAATGATCAGTCATTTTTAAAAAGCGTTGTGCATGTGGAAGATGAAATACTCACCTTAGGTCTAATGATTCACAAGTGTGAGTTCTAATACACAAGACCTTGAGCCCTGTTAGTGTCATGGTGTTGAAGACTGACAACGATGGGTTCTTCCTGCTGGCTTTCACAATGCACAGTACTGTCACTTGTTGACGTCCATGCCTTTCTTTTTTATGGAAAGCACATTTTATTGATTGGTTATCATTTGAAAGTTACAGCAGCAGGAAGAGAAAGACCGAGAAAGTCCCGTTCTCTTGGTTCATCCCCACTTTCCTCCAGTAGCCAGGCCGGGGCCAGGCCAACGCCAGCAGCTCAGCACCCAGTCCAGGTCTCCCACACCTTCATAACAGACTAAAAACAATTCTAAGATTGCAGTAACATCCCCCTGTTCCCTGCCTTCCCCCTTCCCTTTCATCCTCCGAATCACTGCTCTAAGGGATTTTCATTGACAGAATTAACGTGGTACATGTCTTTGATTCTCATGCATTGAGCACATTTGTGTTTAAGAACACAGAGCATGTTTCATGCCATGCTAGAAACCTTAGGCTGAGATCACGTTAGTCATCCCATCATGTGAGGCTTGCAGATCGCCACTGAACAAACACCCAAAGCTTCAACAGAATCATTTCCTTACTTCTGTAACTCCAACTTCTTCCCGCACCCCCTACAAAGAGTTAAGCACCCGGACCAAGTCTTTCACAGTCTAGAAGTGTTGACTGCACCTCTGAATGTTCTTTTCTTAAATGCGCTCGGTTTGATCTTAATTTTGACCAGGGAAGGCACTCCTTTTCATGAAGCAGTTGAGTAACCGCTACGAATAGCACTTACCATGGGGCATGGGACATGCCCACCCCTCACGCAGCAGCCCTCACGCGACTCTCAGGGCACCTGCAGGGCAGGCTCCCAGACTGAGCAGGTGTCGGGTCCCACTCCTGGGGCTGCAAGGGATGCTGAGGCTCCTCTTTGACCTGAGCTCTTGTCTGTTACAGCGTTTCCCGAGTGGGTGGAGCACATCAACGACACGGAGGTGGACATAGGCAGCGACCTCTACTGGCCCTGCGTGGCCACGGGAAAGCCCATCCCCACAATCCGGTGGCTCAAAAATGGATATGCGGTACGTTGCTCACGGGGCAGGTGATATTTTTAGGAGCATCCTAGGATGAGAGATCAGGAGGGTCAGTAGGGTGAGGGTTCTTGGGTCCTATGATGTAAAAACCTCCAGAAATCCCTCCTTTCAGGTCTGCATCACTCTACTCTCCTCACCTCCTCTCAGGCTGCCCCTTTGAGCCACTTTGCCCTGTTTCACTCAGCCGTCCTGACTCACACACTCAGACGTACCAGTGCCACTGCCCAGCCTGGGGACATCGGCCCTGGCCTCTCCACACTTTGCCCTGAACTTCCCACCGGCTCAGAGCTCCGGGAAGCGGGACCCGGGAAGTGGCTCTCGTAAGATGAGCAGTGTAGAGCCACTAGCATGGCAGGTGTAAGTCTGTCCAGCCTGCCTCCCCCTGCACCGACTTCTCCTAGGCAACCGTGGCAGGGGAGGGCGACATGAAGCCTCTAAGGTAAGAGACCCCTGCACCGAAGCCCCCACATAGTGTCACTGCTGGCGTGACCTGCATGGTGTGTTTTGCTTTGTTCCTGTGCAGTATCACAGAGGGGAGCTGAGGCTGTACGACGTGACCTTTGAGAACGCCGGGATGTACCAGTGCATAGCTGAGAACACACATGGGGCCATCTACGCCAACGCTGAGCTGAAGATCTTGGGTCAGTATCCTCTCTGCTTTCCACCAGCCAGCCTTGAGGAAACAACAGACACAACAAGATGAGAACATAGGTCATGTTTCCCTTTTTATTTATTTTTTTTCCTTAATCATAAACCGTTTTTGCAAAGTGTAACCTGGGCTGGAACAATGAGTCCAGGCAGTCAGGCTTTCTTTGCTGTGTCTGCTTGAGCAACCCCAGTATGTGGCCAGGAGGAGACTCCCTGGTAATGGCAGGAAATGTTGAAATTGCAGGACGTGGCCAGAGCCAGCCTTCCTCGCAGAGCTAAGCCTTGCTTAGTAGCTTCCCTTGCACTTAACCTGGATACTCGGGACCCCTGAGCTGCTCTGTGGGGCAGCCTGGTCCCACAGACTCAGGAATGTGATGCACAGGGCTGTGACGCTGAAACAGGGAGTGAAATGATTGCCCAGATGCCCTGTTTCTGGATTTTGTCACCATTCACGGCAGGAGAATCATTTCTGAGGAGTGATGAACTCCTAAGGAAAGCTGTCCATGCAGCTGTGACTCCCCCAGCCATCCGCTGAGTGACGCTCTGAAGGCGAACGGCGTGGGAGCCTCTGCAGATGCGTCATTTTGAGCGTCTGTGTCTTGTCTGCTGCTCCCTTTGTTTTTTTCTCTGTCAACTCTCAATCCATTTGTTCATCCTCTGAAGAGTAAGTGTACTCCCACCCTGCAGCACGTGCTGTTTTTTCTGTTAACAGGTGCACGTAACGCAGTGAGGTGCAGCAGAGGCCTCTTGGGCATCATGTCCCCTTCTTAGATGGAAAAAAATTAGTCCTTATTCTTCACTACTCCCAAGACGTGGAGAGACATAGCTTGAATTCTGTTGCTAGGATGGAATTAATGATGGAGGCATTTAAAGGACCACAAGCAATCCACGATGCCATCATTAAAACCTTAACTACTTGAAGAAAAACTCTTTATATATATAAGTTTGAGTTTTTAAACTATCATAAAATTTTTTTTTACATCTTATAAGCAGTATGTCACTCAGAATGTGTATTGACCTGCAGAAAACACCTAACACTGTGTTAGTTTTTACCATGCAAGATCGACTGGTCACTTGTGTATTGGCAACTAATTATCAACATTTAGACAGAGAAAGCAGTCACAGACTAAGTCTCTCAAAAGCCTTTTCCTCGGAGTGGCAGGGGCAGTGGTGCCGTGGAGCCACTGTTGGCAAATGCGGGGTCTCGGGCCCTCCCCAGGCCTACTGCGTGGGCTTCTGAACAATGTCCCCAGATAATCCCTCGCGCAGATGAGGGAGGAATGAAGGATCTGTGGGCTGGATAATGAAGAGCGTGCACCCCGATACTCAAGCCTAGAACGGGCCTCAGGGAACAGGAAACACAGGTGCAGGCTGATGGAGGGTGTTGAAGCAGGTGCGTCAAGTCCTGTGGAGTCAGCTGACACATGAGGGTGCTGAGTGGGGGGCCCGCCAGGAGGACATATCCAGGAGGGGCCGCTTCCTCTTGCCATCTCACAAAGCACGTTCACACACGGCGCTCGGGAGCACAGGGCGACTGGTTAGTGACTGAAGAAGACGCTGCGAGAGCCGTCGGAGCTGTGTGCCTGCGACAGCTTTGCCAAATTCCGTATTCTGGACCGGTTCTGATTCTCTCTTTTGCACTGAGGTTGCAGTGGGGATATCATTGCGTGTGACACTGTCTATGGGACTGCTCGGTTCCCACCGGCCTTGTGCTGCCTTCCCTCTTGGAATCAAGGTCACACTGCATGAGCTGCTACCTTCATGGGAATGCAGCGCTTCATGACTGAAGTGTGCGATGGTCAGGCCAGCTGTTATCAGGAGCTGCATCCCGGAATGCGGGGATTTTATATCATATAAAAGCTGCTCAGTGAAGACCGAATGGTCATGTGTGGAGTGCCTGTGCGTAGCAGTCCTGTTTGCGGAGATGAAGCTGGCGCGTGAAGTAGGCATCCGAAGGAAATGAAAGCTGCAGTGACAGAGAGGCGTTGTTGATGATGCTTTCCTTCCCGTTTAGCCTTGGCGCCCACATTTGAGATGAATCCTATGAAGAAGAAGATCCTGGCTGCCAAGGGAGGGAGGGTTATCATCGAATGCAAACCCAAAGCCGCGCCCAAGCCCAAGTTCTCCTGGAGCAAAGGGACCGAGTGGCTCGTCAACAGCAGCAGGTGAGTTGGCGACCGCGGCTTCAGGGAGCTCCTTCGGATGCGTTTCTCCAACGTGTCTGTGGCTTTACCACCGCTACTGACTGCTCAGAGGGCAACGCTGCCACCCTGCCAGGATCTGTGTCAGCAGGGATCACGTTTTAGACTTTTGTAATTTTTAAGGAATTTAGAAAACTGAATCTCAGATTTTTTTAGTAAGTTGCCCATAACCATACAGATGATAATGGGAATGTTTTTAAAAATGTTTGGTAACTTATTTTTTCCTTAACAAAAATACTGATATGCATATATATAATTGCAAATATGTGTATTTGCATTGATTTTAGGCAGTTAGTCTAGTCAGTGTTTCAGTAGGAAAGAGAAAAAATGATTTTAAAATGATCTGAAAGTGATTTGAAAGGGGAGTTTGTCTTAGACAAGAGTGAACTTGTTAAATCTGTTGTTGATGCATGCACGGTCTGACTGAGCTCTGAGGAGTGCAGGAGTGGAGGGAGAGATCACAAGGCCGTCCAGACCGTGTGCAGGTCGCTGCGTTCCCCCCTCGGACCGGCGTGTGGGGAGGACTGGACACTGTACCAGGACGGCGGAGGGGCACCTGTTGTGCCTCTGTCCTTGCTGAGAGAGAATCTAGGAACAAAGCCCACAGTACACCAACTTCCAAACGGCTTTCCTGTCCAGTCATCTGTGTACAGTGACAGGCGTCTGTCATCCAGACACACAGTAATAAGGTGTCAATCTTGGGTGATATGCATTGATTTTGCGTTGTGACAGAATCCTCATCTGGGAAGACGGCAGCTTGGAAATCAGTAACATCACGAAGAACGACGCCGGCGTCTACACCTGCTTCGCCGAGAACAACAGGGGCAAGGCGAACAGCACGGGGACCCTGGTCATCACGGGTGAGACGGCACGGTCCGCGTCCTGCCGGCTGTGCGGCAGCTCCCACAAGTCGCTGCTCAGTGAAATCGTCTCTGGGATTTCGGTTAAGAAATGAAATCCTTTTTTTTTTCCCTTCACACAAAGATCAGACACTTTGATCTGTTTGTTGCTGTGTCAGAGCGTGCTGTCTGGCCTCTTCTTGACCTGCGCTTTGCTCTTCCCGACACACGCAGATCCCACACGGATTATTTTGGCCCCGCTGAACGCTGACGTCACGGTGGGCGAGAACGCCACGATGCAGTGCGCGGCTTCCTTCGACCACACCCTGGACCTCACGTTCGTCTGGTCCTTCAACGGCTACGTGATTGATTTCAACAGAGAGAACATCCACTACCAGCGGAACTTCATGGTATGTGCGTTCGCGCCTGTCCTGGCGGCGTCCCACTGTGTCCTGCGTGTCTGCGCTGAAGCTTCTCTTGCCGTAGTTGGGTTTCGAATGAGCCAGGGTCTTCATAGCACGGAAGATTTAAACCAAAAGGTGTGCTCTTTGTATTGATTGCAGTTCTCCTGAAAGACACCAGTGCGTAGTAATGGGGTTGCAGATACTTTGTCTGAAGTACACAGCATTTACAGCTGAGTATCACACCCAGACAAAGCGCATTTTATGGCCCTGCTGCCTCTCTTTTTACCTTCAGTGACACAACGTGTAGGGTCCTCGTGTTGTGATGCTGCTTAGTTTAAAGCACTTATTTTATTAAACGAAGGTTTAAAATACACAAAATAATTACGTTGAGGGTTTGGAGAGCTAGTCTATGAAAGTTAAAAGAGATTAAAAGACTGAATTTGAAAACTGGAAAGCAAGCATGTGAAATCCTGTGACCCAGCATGCTGATAGTGAGTGCAGAAGCTGACAAGCGGAGGGGGTGTGGCAGGAATCCCGCCTGCCTGGCGGTCTCGCCGGTGTCCACGCAGCCGTGTCGCTTGCTGCAGCTGCCCCCTGAGAGGCAACCACGTAGCCAGCCACAGACACGTTCAGGACACAGCCCTCGGTGACGGTGGAAGTCAGCCATGAAAACAAGCAGAAGTAAATCAACTCTGTAGATCTGTAAGGCCCTTCAAGTCCCATGGGATCTGAAAATTGATATGTGCGTGTCTTAGTCACTTCCAAACTGACTCTTTTTTCTTTACTCTTCTTGAAGTCTCTAGAAAGCTAGAGGCCGCCTCCAGTCAAATCGGGGAAGAGTGGTACTCAACTTGATAGGACTTCATCTTTTTTTGTTGTTAGTTACCAGTGATTTTATTTTTTCCATTATTATTATCATTTAATGACACAGTTCCAAGTGCTTTATTTCTTTTTATATTCGTATTAGAAACCAGCAACTATGCCTGAGCTACTGTCCCTGCAGCAAGGCTGTTTATGCCTTGGATGTGTTGATGCTGTTACCTACCCATTTACAGCTGTTGCTGTAAATTAAAACCAAAGCTAATGTCTTTGAGTTTTGGGTCCCAAGTGGTACTTTATTGGCAATAAAATCCGAAAACTTCCAAAAAGCTATAAATTCTGTATTTTGACCAAATGTGTAATACCAAGGTGCTGTGTTTCCCCTTACGCGTTACAAAGTGTCCTGATGTGATAATACAAGTATGTTCAACTTTGGTGACATGGGCATCAAAATCAGTAATACTTCCTTCAAGTTCATTGCTCGCCCATGCTCAGGAGTGGCTTTTGAGCTGGGTGAATGGAAGCCAGAGGCAGCAGCAGGTATGGGGGTCAGCAAACGAGGAGGCAGGTGCAGTGCCGCTGCGTTGGCAGTTCTGAGTTGCCCAGGCAGAAATTTCCGTGTGTGTGTATGTACACAGATGTCTATGTTTATGAATGCTCTTTTGGTATTTTCATTCTAGAAACATTATGGTGATTGAACCACATTTATTCTTGTAAATAGACTTGCTCCTTGACGCCATATACAAGCAAAATTACATCTTGTGGCCAGCGCCATGGCTAGGCCAGGTCTGCTGCCACGTGACATGGCAGCACCCACAGCAGAGAACTGGTGGAAGTCCAGGCTGTCCCTCCCTGGATCCTACAGCCTGCACATGTCCCCGGGGACGCAGCGGAGCCCACGCGAGCGGCCCTGCTGTTTCCTCGCCCGGTCCTGACTGCTGTAGCCGTCCAGCCAGGAACCAGGGCATGGCAGTTTCCTCTCGTTTGTCTCTCCCTCACTCTGTGTCGCTCTGCTTTTCAAATAAGTAATGTGAAAAAGACATTTGCAGTGAGCATGCACACCTCAAGTGGGCACGGTGGTTGGCACTGTGGGAAAGGAAGATTGAGTAAGACACACGCAGATGTAAATCCGGACGACATCAGAGTTTCCTTGTGGGTTTGCAATTCAGATGTAAAGGCTTTGGACACAGTTTAACAAAAAAAAAATCTTACGTCAGCATGTTTGAAAATCTCAGTTGCTAAAAATTAATATTAGAAACTTATAACTAATTAAGGAAAAATCTAGATATTAAGTTAAATTTATTTTTCATTTCTAAAAACTGTTTTCGTTTTACTTGCCACAATGAAAACAAGTATGGTTTGGTTTTAGCTTGCTATTCTAGGAAATGACCACCAAGGGGCAGTGTTGCATAAGGTTTCAAATTTCTCAGCCTAGACTAATTTAAAACCCGAAAGCAGTATTTTGTGAAATTAAATAAATACTCTTTCCCTTCATTAAGAATCAGTTCTGGGGCAGGTGTTGGCATGGCGGTTCAACCACAGCCTGGGACACCCGCATCCCATGTTAGGGTACCTGGTTCCAGCCCCAGTTCTGCTGCCTCTGATCAGGTTTCCCGCTGACGCACACCTAGGCAGACAGGAGCAGGTGAGGGCGCAGGCTCTGGGCCGCCAGGAACCTTGGGAGCTCCACCACGTAGGAGTCCTAGCTGAGAATCTGGCTCCCAGCTCCGGCCTAGCCGAGCACTCGCCATGGAAGCGATCTGGGGAGTGCAGCGGTCAGCGTAGACTTAGATGTCGATATTCTGTCTGTATTTCTACCTTTCAGGTCAAAAGAAGTAAATTTGTAAAAGAATTATGAATTTTTGGGGGTGATTTTTACAACTTGTAGCCTTTACAATTAGCATCATATAGTTACCAGTGAAAGATGTAACTACATGTTTTTAAAGTTGTTTCTTTAAAGATTTGTCTTATTTATTTGAAGGGAAGATGGCAGAGAGAGTGAAAGACAGGGAGAATCCAATCTTCCATCTCCTGGCTCACTCTCCAAATGGCCGGAAGAGCCAGGATCGGGCCAGGCGAAAACCAGCAGCCTGGAACCTGGGTCTCCCACCTGGCCGGCCAGGGCTCCAGTGCGCGGGCCAGCCTGCACTGCTCTGCTGGATGTGTTTGCAGGGAGCTAGGTCAGACGCAGAACACCTGGTACTTGAACCTGTGTTTCAGTAGGAGATGCCGCCCACCAAAGCAGCAGCTTAACCCACTGAGCCGCAGTGCCTGGCCCCTGAAGGAGTTAGGACGCACATCAGAACAGCAAAGATAACATTCCTGTTGCGTTTACAAAGCCTCCCATGTGGCAAGCCCTCTGCGTCAGCTTATTTTTTTAAGGCATTTTCTTTTTCTTTTAAGGCTGTGATGAAACAATGCTCATAGAAAAACAGTACGAAGGGAAATAAGTACTTTGGCTCCAGTGTCACTCACCCTGTCATTTATGCCATTAGCAGTCGCCTGTCGTCAGGTGATTCTGGCTTCACTTAGAGTTATGCACAGGGAGCTATTAAAAATGCGTGAGTGAAGCAGACAGTTCATAAACTCACAGCTTTGATAAATAAGCAGTTTAGCAGCTTAGCTATGTTCTTATCTTCTGTTAAAGGTAAATAGCAAATAATCACAAATTTCCAAGTCCAGTTACAGACTGACTTCTCTTTCGATTTTGTAATTTAACAGTCATTCAAGAAAAATATTCACTTAGTCCTGAAGAGGTGACCCCAAGATTGGGGCTTCCCCATGGCGCTGTCCAATCTATAGACATTATTTCTTCAAGGCATCACGTTCAGTTGTGGGACAGCATTCTCGCTGTCAGAGCCTCACGAGGGTCTTCAAGTTCTCCTTTCTGGCAGTGATCACTGCAGCATGTATGTTTGCGATTGAACGCCGACAGATAAACACTGACATGTGTCCAGGGGTCCCTGCAGCTCCGAGGTGGCACAGGTCTTCATCTGTGAATACAGCCGAAGCAGGTCCTGCCCTATAGGAAGAGTTCATTTTGTACATGGAGTTTTTAGAACACCGCCCAACACTCAGGACACCCTTGCTACACTTTTCTTAACATGATGCATTTGCTGTCAGTATTCTTTCTCTTAACTTTTTTAAAAATTTTATTTGAAAGCCAGAATCACAAAAAGAGGAAAACCAAAGAGATCTTCTACCTGCTGCTTCATTCCTCAAGGCTGCCGTGGGCTAGGCCCCAGCCACATGGCGTCAGAGCCCCAAACCCCTGGGCCATTCTGCTGCTGGCTCAGGCACCTGAGCAAGAAACTTCCCCAGAAGTGGGGCAGCCGGGACTTGAACTTGTCCTCCTATGAGATGCTGGTGTGGCAGGTGTAAGTCTTACACGCCCTGCCACAGCACTAGCCTCAGTCTGTTACTGCTCTAATAACTTTTGAATCAGAAAGCAGGGCAGTTGTGTTTCCTGGAGACGTATAAGACATATTTAGTTATTTTTGCTTGTGTTTTTAAAATGCGAATTTTAAAAGATGCCTTTTCCTACCAGTGTCCGTTATCTGTCCCTTCACTCTGAATTTCTCAGCGAAGTTTTTTTTTTCCCTAATAGCCAGCCTGACCCTGGTTTCATCTGCATGCTGAATGTACCACACAGCACGTTTCTGTCTTCCAGGAGAGAAACTCAACTAGTCAGTAAGAGTTAATCCCCCGTTCCTCCTGGGCAGCGACACTGCAGTCGGCGTAGGGGCCAGACGGGATGGCATGTCTGTGTTCAACTCGGGAGCCACCGGAGTGCCCACTGACAGGGTGGCCTCACGGTGCCCCTGGGCTTCCCATGACCCCCTCAGCGTGTGATTTAGCTGCTTTCACGCGAAGGGCAGCGCTCTGTCCTCCTGCCAGGCTGCGGCTTCCAGCGAGGACCAGGCAGCACTCATGTCTAATTTGTGGCCGGGATTGCCGAGGCCCAGGCTTGTCTCTTGCTGGGTCAGCATTCTGCCAGCCACCGAGAGCCTCAGCCCTCCCCGACGCGTGGAAAGTGCGAGCGGCTCCAGGAAGGCGCTGACACACACAGAGCCGCCCTGCAAAGATGCGTTGGCTTTTCCCTTTGTGCATCACGCCTTTCCATATGATGTCTGGGTGCTTCATAAAGGGGACCCGTCATGACTCCCCTGAAGCCTGGGGCTGGACGGAGAGCTGCTTTGAAAATGAAACCGTGAATCCTCTCGAAAAACCTGTACGTCTATCGTGAGAATCCCCTAAGGAGAGCTCTACTAGAATAGTTTAGGATGGGATAAATGTTGATTTTTATGGCATGCAACATCATAAAAAAATGGCCACGTCCTTTCTGTTGGAATACAGTAAGTGAATATATAAACAGCATGTGTTTCAAGCTGAAGACCTGAAGAAGAGAGAATTTCTTTAAGAAAAAACTCTTAGATGTGTAACATATAATCATTTCTAAAGGGCAATTTTGGTGTCACAGTTTTTTTTTTTTTGTTGCATTTTTTGTCCTCAGATTTTTTACAGAGTTGGAGAAGAAAATATTCATTGCTGAGGGTTTTTTTTATTGCAGTATAATCTCATGGCTCACTGAGACAGACAGAGTTTAGGCAGAGGATCAGCTTCAGATTAGACCCCTGTAGCCACTGCAGGGGAGGTTAACTCGGCACTTCACTGCTCTACGTTTCTGGCAGCATTACTCTTTACCAAATAGAACTTACCTTGTGTCATTTCCCAAGAAACGAGCATGGGTTTTAGTAAACTCACCATAAGTGACCTTGTTAAATTCCTCAGCCGCTCTAAATCCACTTTCATTGCTGCTAATGAGGATGCAGCAGCCATGGTCCAGAGGGCTTGCTTGGAAGAGGATTGAATGAGGCAGAATGCGTGCTTGCGAAAGCACAATCGTGGTGCTTGAGCTAAGCAAGCTTGGGAGCTACATTAAGGTGGACTGTTAACTGAACAAGCCTAAGACAATGAAACCTCAGAAAAACACTAACAGTGTTAGATCTCTGGCTATCCAAGCATAGAACAAAAGAAAAATCCCTATCGTCATAAAGTGCATCATTTGGCAACAAAATCCAGGCTGGCAGAACTGTCTATTTTGCTATCTTGTCCAGCTTTTATTATCTTTCTAAAGTGTAATGTGGAACACATTGTAATTAACCTGTGAACTCAGCTTTGCAAAACCAAACAATTCCTGCAGCTGTGTGGTAATTTCTCCTTCACGGTGTCATTTAGCACTAAGAGGATGAGATCTCAATGTTTCTTTTGAAAAGATGGGAGTTTTCTCTCATTGTAGCCCTTGGTAAGTGTAGAACGTTTAAGACGTTACCTCTGAAATGACCTTGAGCAGCTAGCCTGGTCGCTGCTTTTCAGCAGGGAGCCGGAAGCCCCAAGTGTAATGGGCCTGAGTGAGGGGCTCACAGGGCGGTCCCTCCTGCTGGCACTCCTTTTTGTTGGGGTGTTGTTCTCTGCGTGCGGGCAGTGTGACGAAGGAAGGGACTGACCTGGGGCTGCTCTTTCTGCTGACAGCTGGATAACAACGGGGAGCTGCTCATCCGGAACGCGCAGCTGAAGCATGCCGGGAGGTACACGTGCACGGCCCAGACCATCGTGGACAACTCCTCAGCGTCCGCGGACCTCGTGGTGCGAGGTGAGGGCGTCGCTGTGCTTGGTTCAACCAAAGAAACTCGGTATATCCAGATGCGTGGGCGTTGAGGGTCTCTGCCCCGTGCTTAAGAATGCAAGTTAGGCTTTTTATCCAGGCGTGAGTGACTTACGCCAGACGAGCGGTAAACAACACTGCTTGGTGTACTAACTCGAAGCTTCTAGAAAGGACTGCACGTCTCCTACTCCATGCCTGTGTTTTTAACTTGGTACTTGCTGCACTTCCCCGCTTCTGCGAGTGCTTTCGTTTGCGTTGAACGTAGTGTTCTTTCCTTTTACATTTTTTAAGGAAAATGTGCTGGTGGTATTTGCGTGTTCTGAATTTTTCACCGCTGTCTTAGGATATAAAGTGAACTCATGTGTATCATGTGAACCATTTTTCTGGCTTAAAAACGAATGCTTTGTGTTCTCTAAGTGATTTCTTGTAGAACGCCACGCTGTGGACATTTGTAGGAAATACGGCCCCTTTGCTCGTGGACACTGTTTGGCAGCGAGGGTGCTTGCAGAGGGCACTCCTTGTTGGAGCTGGTCAAGAGGCTGTTCGCTCGTGAGCTTCCGTTGGCTCAGCATCCATGGATGTCCTGTGTGATCTCAGCTTCCTTATCTTTAATGTCTTCATATCTCTCCAATCCCTGGAAGGGTGGGGGACCTTTTTTAAAGAATTGATTATTTCGATTGGAAAGGCAAAATTACAGAGAGAAGTAGATAGAACGTACAGAGAGCAAAATCTTCCGTCCACTGGTACACTCTACAGATGGCTACAACAGCCAGAGCTGAGCCAGGCCGAAGCCAGGAGCTCCTTCCAGGAGTCCCACGTGGGTGCAGGGAGCTTGGTGGGAAGCAGCGTAGCCGGCACGGGAACCAGTACACATACGGGATGCTGGCGCTTGCAGGCGGACAGTTGAGCCATCAGGCCAACTCCAGGGAAACTTTTTGTTTTTGTTTTTCTACCAGGGCCATTTGCATATTTCTGAAGTTGTCCACAGGCCACAGAAAATTATCAACTTAGAAATTAGCCTACCATACCTGGTTTCTAAGTACTGCCTGCAGTTGTATAGTCATGGCCAGACCAGATGGTTTGCCCAGTCCTACCCAGGCCACGGGCTGAACATTCCCCAACCTGTCACAATTCCTGCTGACCCACTTCTCCACAAAAGTACCCTGGTGTTGCCATCTCTTTCTTGCGTCCCAATTCCCCCACCAGTTACTTCTCGCGTTATTACTAAAATCGTATCCATCCTTCAAGACTTGGCTCACATGGTACTGGTTCAAGACTCTTTCACTGGCATTCAAAATATGAGTTCCTTGCTTCTGAACGTCCATAGCATTTGCTGTTTTCTGTAATGTGTTTTATAGCAATCTGCATATGAGTTATTTCTACTAACTTATAATAAGTTTAAATACATTTTTCACTACTTAGTGAACGTAAGTATCCCTTTTCACAGTTTCAGAAATCTTTGCCTTTCTCTGCCTCAATGTAAGAGAAAAGTTTCTATCTTGACCATTATTGCACATTTTGCTGTCTGGTTTTGCATACATAGTTAATAAATAAAATGGCATCTAAGTTTTGTTTATCTTATTATCCCATTCCAAATCCAGGTCTCTGTAATTCCAGAGTCTCTTGTACTTCTGGTCATTTTCCTCTGGGGATAAACTGGAGAGTCTTCCACTCCAGGTGAACCTGTGTTCTAATACAGCCCAAACCTGACTGATATATCCAAATATACCTCAATGTTCATTCCACAAACCACCTGCTGAAAACTTACAAACCCTGAGGCCACAAAATCCTGAGTCAAAGAATTCCATTTAGAGTATTGTTTTTGTTTTAATTGGTTATATCCATTATTTCCAAGAGTCATCAGGAGAAAGTCTAGTTCACTATTATTTCTAGTCAGACTGCCAGATGGTATGCACTTCCACTGAGAGACGTATTGTAAATGTCCTTGAAATGGCCTGTGTACCAACAAGAATGACCGCGAACATTGCAGTAGTGTCTGTGCCATCGTAGAGGATGGGCATCCTTGTACGACGACGCTGTGCTACACTCATCGTGATTCCACTTGAAAGCATTCTGAGGTATCCAGAGGAAAAGAAAGTTTCAGATCTTATTTCTCTACTAGGAAAGGCATTAATTCATATAAAAATAAATTTACAAGGAAAATAGGTGTATCTTGACAGAGTTCGTGTCAAAAATATATGTAAGATTTACTCGCTACAGTGCTTCATCTGTGCAAACCAGAGGATACATAGTCAGCATTTTCTTGATTTCTTCTAACAGTGATGAGGATTGTGCCTGGACAGTGGGCCACTTGCCCACTCGGCTGTCCTTTTGAGTCAGGAGTCCATAGGCAGGCTCCATGGTCCACAGGCCTTTTGACACTGTGTATTGTGCATGGTTGTGTGTGCACATGTGTGTAAAGCTTGATGAAGGAAATTCATGTGAGAGAAAATGGGGTGCACACCTTGATTTTGTTATATTCTGCATTAGAGGCAGCCAGTTAGCTACCCCTGAGGGCCTCTGTTAGTGTTTATCCCACGGCGTAGCAAGATATCTGAAGCTGAGTCATTGGGTAAAGAGAAGGGATTGACTGAGCACACGATACGGAGGATGCAGGGCATGGTGCTGTCACTGACTAGGAACCGGGGAGGGGCTCATGGAGGCTGAAACCACAGTGAGAGGGCACACGTCACACCAGGAGCCAGAGAAGCTGCTGGGCTCACCCGTTACACCAGCTCAGCCTCATGGCACCAGCTCGTGCCCACTGGGAGATCAGTGCTCTGCTCTGAGAGCTGCACCTGTAGACCCCCCCGACAACCTTGCCCTCAGCCCCACTTCTCAGGAGTCTCCTGGTGCCAGCAGAACCACACCATGGCCCATGCTTCCCACACGTGCATGCTGGGCGATACGCTCAAACCATGTCCACATCCTGTCTGATAATCTCTAAATATAAAACTGCTTTGTGGGATGTCGTCGGCACAGGGCTGTTGACACACATCAGAGGTTCCTGGCAGCAACAGCCTGAGATACACGTGGCAGGGACCCGGGCAGTGACATCTGTCAGCACTGAAAAGGAACTTCACGTGAAACCACTGACATGGAGGGTCTTCATCCCGGAAGCCTAGGCCGTTATTTCCCTCGTTTATGTAATTCCCGTTCAGTGTCAGTAAATCGTTCACCATAGAAACACAGTGTTAAATGCTTCAGCAGATGAACTAAGGTAACCTAGCCCAGAAACAGTCAGAGGGAAAGCATCGTGTGTGTGTGTGTGTGTGTGTGTGTGTGTGTGTGTGGTGTGTGTTTAGTCTGGGCAGCGTTGTTTCACTGTGTGTGTGTGTGTGTGTGTGTGTGTGTGTGTGTGTGTGTGGTGTGTGTGTTTAGTCTGGGCAGCGTTGTTTCATTGTGTGTGTGTGTGTGTGTGTGGTGTGTGTTTAGTCCTGGCAGCGTTGTTTCACTGTGTGTGTGTGTGTGTGTGTGGTGTGTGTGGTCTGGGCAGTGTTGTGTTTCAGCGTGTGTGTGTGTGTGTGTGTGTGTGTGTGGTCTGGGCAGTGTTGTGTTTCAGCGTGTGTGTGTGTGTGGTGTGTGTTTAGTCCGGGCAGCGTTGTTTCACTGTGTGTGTGTGTGTGTGGTGTGTGTTTAGTCTGGGCAGCGTTGTGATTCACTGTGTGTGTGTGTGTGGGGTGTGTGTGTGTGTGCTTAGTCTGGGCAGCGTTGTGATTCACTGTGTGTTTTGGTCCGAGTAGTGTTGCTGTATGTGGCCTGTGGCGGTAGCTGGCTGTGGGTCTTTCCTCTGATCAATGTCACGGATATTTTCTTCCTCCCCCTGGTTTGTGTGGGCAGAGCTGAGCAAGCCGCGACCCCAGTTCACGTCATGCATGTTTGTGGAGGTCTTGATGGGGCCAGCCGGCACTCTTTAACAAATGTGCCCTAGAAGCCTTCTTCGTGCACAGTGACAAACTGCTGATAGTTCTGTGATCGGTAAACCACATATTAAGTATATTTCCTTTCCTTCCCATTTCTTCACAGGAACCAACTCTGCATTTATATTGACATTTGAGAACAGAACTTTAGATATAGATTTAATTCCACAACTCATTTAGATAATCCTTAGCCCTTCATTCTGTTTACTTGGGTTCCGCAAGAACCCTCCCCCGTCCCAGCCTTGTCTACTTAAGGGCAAATAATCATTGTTGGATCCCAGTCCAGTCTCTCCCTGAGCCGTGCTTTGTCTAGATATTATGAACACATCTGTAGGTTATTCCCAAAGCTTAGTTCTGCTGCGAAGTAGTTACCGTGGGCGGCTCTAAGCAGTGAATGTTACTGCAGTGTTGGCTGTGTTGGTGTCCCCTGCCCTTGGCCTGATACATGCTCGTGAAGACATGTGCTAAAAACACACTGTGAAGAACAGGAAAGGTGAACACACTTGAGTGAAGGCAGGCTGGCTAGGGTTGACTTCAGGCCAAAACGTGTGGAACTCTGGATGTTATAGCAGCATGTAGGTTTCTGTAGCACCTGGCATATATATTCACATCGTGTTCAAGATTTCCTCCAGTAAGTTGTTATTATTAAATAACTAATTGTGGGTTTATATTATAAATGATTAATAAAGTCCAGTAGGCAGAAACTAATTCAAACAGACTTTTAAATTAGTCAGTATGATCACTGTGACATGAGGGAGAGCAGGTATAAATGGCTTCGTATAAAGTACGCGTTCCTTTTGGCAGACAGGCACACACGCGCGCGTGCACACACACACACACACACACACACACACACACACACACACACACACACACACACAGGAAGGGCCCCAGAAAAGAGACGGACTTACCCAGGCAGGGGGATCTGGTCCAGATCGTCAGTCTAATCAAAGAGAATACTTGAGGTGGCTTTTCAAGTATTTGGGACAGAAAAACAGCCATGTGCCTCAGATACTTGGATAACTGCCTCTGCTTTCCGCTGGCTCTGGCCACAGAGACAGACTAAAG